AGAGAGAGAGAGAGAGAGAGAGAGAGAGAGAGAGAAACGTACACAAATAAAGACACGAACCAACAATATCCACAGTAGATCTGAGCTAAATGAAGTTGCATAACGCGCAGTAAGATAAATCAGAATTCTACCTGATGTATGAAAAAAGGAACGGGTCACACCGGTTTAGACTGTTCCAGTAAATGTGGTGAAGAAGAGGGGAAAATGAAAAAGAGGTCGATGACATAATCTTCGTTAGGGGATAGTTCCCTGTTACGAATTCTGTACGCTGTTACAAAGGGAATCACTCACCATAAACAATAGGGTTGATGCAGGAATTGGAAACAGCGAACAAGAAAAGACCTCTCTGGACTTTGCCGTCAATTTTCACTGCCGACGTCCTGGTGAGACAGGGTTGAAAGAAATATTTGATTACATCTCTATTTAGAAAATACTTTTTAAGAATAATAATAAACAGAGATTAGGTCTTGCGTACTGAAAAATATGAAAACTTTGCTTGTTACAGAGGTGACTTTGAGGAAGAAACAATAACACAAAAAAACAAAAACAAAAAAAGACAAAAAAACATTTCAGGTTGACGTATTATCATCCCGCCCACTGATCTCAATGCATACTGAATATATTTGTAGCCTACTTGTCAGACGAAAATCTTCCGAAAGTAATATAATTCCATGAATATCCAGAAATAACGAAAGTCCATTACATGCAATTCACACAGAGTGGAGATTACTGGAAGTAAAATTATACCGCCCAAAGCTGTTTCTTTGTCACATTTTTAGCCATTTTTTCATTCAGATAAAATCAACTGAGGTTAACAGAGTGGGGAAAACGTTATATATATAATGAAATTGCCAACAGCAACAGTTTGCCGAGTCTTGTCGACAGCAATGTGGAATGCAAAGAAAACAAAAAGTTGACGGTAATGCAGTAATCTGCATGCGATCAAGGGTATGAAAAAGAATAACTTTGGCTACAAAAACGTACCACAAATCCATACTTGACACCTAGCTGAGTTTTAAAGCTTATTATAATGATACTTTAGATTCAGCCCTATAATTTGAATAAGTCATGATTTCAGTTGTGAACTGGATATCAAAACTGGCTTACAGTGATATAGATCTACTATTATAAATGCAATGCTTTGTCTGATATCATAATGCTGAGTGCTGATATTTTTCGGAACTAGCCAGATGCAAAGATTAGATGTAATTTTTAGATCACTGAATTTACCAAATTAATGTCTTCCTTTGGCCTTTGTTCTAAATTTCTTCTTTAATATGACAGTGAATGATGATGATGATGATGATGATGATGATGATGATGATGGTGATGGTGATGATGATGATGATGATGATGATGATGATGATGAT